AGCTACTACGCTCTCAGTCTTTAATAAAAAAGGCATTTTTATCAACTAAAGCATTTCTGAGGAAGGATAGAGATGACCTTCTCCTCATCTTAAAGGCTGATAAGGGTCAAGTTACCGTTTGTATGAATGAATCAGACTACATACAAAAATCTATTAGTGTATTTGGTGATTAGCCCACATATACAATTTTAAGTAAGGATCCTACCTCCACCATACAGAACAGAAATAATAAATTCTCTAAGTTACTGCTAGAATTGACATAATGGTGTATCACCCAGATACCACGGACTTCCAAAAATTCACAAACATGACTAGCCCTATTATTTCTTTTGTTGGTTCACCTACATATCAACTGTCTAAATTCTTAGCTGAAATTTTAAGTCACGCCTTCAACTTATCACTACTAAGTGGGACTTTTTGGAAATGACAATATCTATTGACAAAGAGCTGTTCGTCGAATTGATAGTGTTTTTGTTTGAATCAACTCATTTTATTTTTGATAAAAAGAATTACAGACATAAATTTGGTACTCCAATGAGGAGTCCTCTCAGCCCCATTTTAGCTACTATGGATCATCTTTTGGATGAGTGCGTTTCGTTACTTAACTTGGCTTTTCCCTTCATCTTTAAGTATGTAGATGATATGTATTATCTGTACGGTCCCCTTAAACCAGATTGACACTGTTCTTGACGCATTTAATGGTTTTGATCCACATTTACAGTTTGCTGTTGAGACCGAGGTTAACTCATATGTACCTTTTCTGGACACGAAGGTTATTAGAAATGATGACCAGACCATTATCTTGGATTAGTACACTAAATCCACATACTCGGGTAGATTCATAATTTTTTATTCCAATCATCCTTTCAATCAAAAGATTAATACTATTGTCGCCATGCGGGATAGAATTAAATTAATTTCCAACCCTGTTTTTTGGGAAAGTAATAAACAAAGGTTGTTTAGCATTTTCATTAAAATAGCTTCTCATCTCGTCTATTGGGTGGTATCCTTAACCACAATGGTAGTAAGATTAATATTATTAACATGACAGCGCTACAACATACTGTTAACCCAACTAGGATCACTAAATATATAATAATTCCTTATCTACCCGGTCTCACTAAACAACTCAATTCTCTACTGTCCTCTGAAACTCTGAGGTTTTCTAACACCAAATTTTTACCTCTGTCCTGTCTATTCTCAAGAACTAAAGAACCTGTATAGTTGTTATCCAAGTCAAATGTCATCTATAAGATCCCATGTAGCAATTGCGATGGTTCATATATAGGAACTACTTCTCAATACTTATCTAGCCGTATCAACCAGCATAAGAGAGTTGCGCATCACGTTAAGGAACGACATCACTTTGATTTTGACAATATCTCTATGCTTGAAAAGGAATTGAATTACAATAAGAGACTCTTTCTAGAAATGGCTTATATTAATAGGGAAGTTGGATCGGTGAATTTTAGAACGGATACTGAAAATATAAGTTCTGTATATGCCTTTCTAGTTACTAATAATTGGTTTTCCAGTAACTATTCCAGAGATAACTCTAGTTGTTGTATCTTTTAACTTTTTAACTTATTTTTACAGTTTTAGATATAATTCATTTTATTGTTTTTTTGTTATTAAATTTGGATTTGTAATGTTTCATATTTCCGACGCCACCTTTTGTTATTTTTTCTGAAATAAAGATCGTTTTTTCCCTTCCTTGTTCCTTTGGTTCTTACATGTAAATCTGGTTTTTTCAACGTGGCTCGTTTATAATTTTAAATTGTAGTTTAACGTTATTTTGTGCTTAATTTTTGTAACTTTGATAATGTATTTGTTTACTATATCATATTTTTGAGTATTGAAGTGTTAAACTGAATATCCAGGCTTACGTTATGTATTTGGCTTTTTATGCTTCCATTTGTAAGTATTGTTCAATTTTAATTTTTCTTTAATTGTAAGCCTTGGGGTTTGTTTTGTTTTAATTGATTAGTTTTGCTCTGAAGAAGGAATAAAATTATTCCAAAAGCTCGGTTAAAGGAAAAAAGGACAACTTTGGTTTAATTCCCTTGTATGGTCGGTTCCCAGGATTTCCACATTTACTGAATGTAATGTTTTTTGACTACTAGCAAAGTAAGCCGCTACAGAAAGTGTCGCTTAGGAGATGCTTCATTATAATCATATTAATAAGAATTATAATATAAATAGTAAATAACAGGCATATTATAAATATACCACTTTTTTGAATCACTGTATCAATAACATAATGAGTTTTGATATTAAAAAATAACTTTTATATCTTTTATCTCTTCAGTCAACTGTGTACGTCGTCATCGAAGTTCAATAGGACATGATATTGAACTACGTTGACAATCTTTTTTCAAAACTCCTTATATAATTATTAAGAACAATAAAAGGAAAAATAAATACTTAATTTCGAAGCACAAGGAATCCATATTAACGCCACGAAAAGTTAAAACAATGGAAGAAGTTAAACGTAACGTTGTCTATCGATACTGTACCACCAGATATAATAATGCCATTAAACAATGTCAAGGTAAAATGTAATTATGTCACGATTTTGGCGCAGAACTATGTGGGGAAACCAAAATGTATTTTTACAAACCATTAAAGTCAGCTTTTTTTCGCTGCAAAAGCAAAAAATGTATTCTGAAGAGAGATTATAAATATTTTGGTGTACTTTCTATTGAATATCGTATAAGATACATTTCGTTGTTCTTTTTTCTCTTATAATATAGCATTTCCTTTTTTAACAATAAACAGCTAGTTTTCTAAAATTTGATGGGTAAAATCTTTCTAAAAATGATAGGAGGAGGTTCTAATGAGATAGTTTTATTCGTCTAACATCTTATCTGCTTTATAAGTTTATAACTACAACCTTCCACCCATTGATAATCAAAGAACATACTCAGATATTGATCATTTTGTTGTGAATGGTCAATTTTCTCGTTTGATTTTTCGTACAAATAAATTCTCAGAAGAAAACCTTATTCAATTCATGGATTTTGTTGCTTATTGTGGAATAAAATGCATTAATGACGAATAAAGAAATCAATTCTAAAGATCAAATATTTTGTATCATTATTACAACAAACTTTGTTCAATCTATTAAGTCATCGATTCTGCACAGCGATTTAAGAAAATGTTGTCTTGTGGCTTTGCATCTATATGCAGTAGATTTAAAAAGAGTCTATGTTTTCTATTTTACTCCTTTTGAATGTGCTATGTGTCAGAGAGAGATAACTAACATTGTCACCAACAAGGGTCTAATAAGGATCAAGCAACGCTGTATATGGCAATTAGAGATTTGGAAATGTTTGATATAATAAGATTCTTACTCCTGAAACAATGGTCCAAATTTGAATATTGTGCAAGTTATTTTCAACTTTAACAGTGGCCAATTACTACAATTTAACGTTGACATCGTTAATCTTCTCTTCAAATTTTCTGGACTTGTTGCAGCATAAAATTATAGTATGGAGGATTTCAACTTAATTAACGCATAACTCAGTCATGTTGGATTAAATCTTCTTTGAGTAATCTAGGCCATTCGAATACGATGTCTGCATAAAGCGGTTGATTGTAATCGATAATCGACAATGAGGACAAGTCATCATTTACTATGATAGATGATCGAGATGAATCGCAATTCCCACTTATAAGCTCGGCTAACTTCGACTCGATGATCATGCCACCTCAAGTAGACACATTTCACGTGATACTAGGAACCGCAAGCATAAATTCTTAAGGAGGACACCAAAAACAACACGTGAGCACAATCCAAATAAACAGCTAAAACAGCTAAACATCAAGTAGAGTTAAGAAACCGAAATGAATGTAACTAAGCAATAACAGTCTCGATTGTAAATTTAAAATATACAAAATTTAACTTAAGTCGGTCTGATAGAGGCTTACTTTCCCAAGACTGCCCACTTCTACAATTTAAGAAATTGCGCTCAAAAAAGATCCTTCTCTTGCTTCTCTTATTCCTACATAAAGTCCCTTTTGTCATTGGGGAGTATTGCGACCTAAACTCTTATATCCCCACGCTGCAGTTCTGAGGGCATAACCCTATTCTTTACTAAGATTACTTTTAAATAGATAAAATTTACTTTTGCTTGAATAACCGTTTAATCGTAAAACTGCTCCACACAACTGCCCTGAAAATGAACTTAACTAAAACAATATTAAACTATGGTTATAATTAAATTATATGATTTCGTCATAAAGAAAGAACTAATGAAAAAGCTTTTAAAATCGTTCTCAACGGTTTAATCAATTCCTTTCTTTTTTAACAAGTTGCATTCCTTTGATCAAATCTTAATTCTTAAATTACGTAGAACCCCTTTATTAAATTCGCCAGATAATAGAATAGAGTGGTAATCAATAATTTTATCCGACAGTATCCGTGTAATCATTGTTACAAAGATAATTTTATTCTCAAACGATTAAATTATGGTATTATCAACACCATTCTTCGAATACAAAATTTTTCATTTACATAAACTTATAGTTTTACAACCAACCAATCAATCCGCTACACCAATAATAATAACATATCATTGTTTAAATAAACAGCGTAAAATAGAATAAAGTAAACGATTGTATCTAATTGACCGTAATAAATTAAGAAAAATTTCGCAAACGTTACCTCGAAACATCAACAAGACCGCCACAAAAAGCAATCAATGTCTTTTAATAAGTTCTTTTTTACAATCTCATTTTTTAAAATCAATTCTCGTTTATGTAAATAAACCCACATTTTCAATATTTCCGACTAAAAAAGATAATGATCCATCCGGAAAACAAAATAAATCTTCCTATATTTTATTAGGATTTTTATAAGACGCGAAATTAAGATTTACTGTGACTTTTATACGGTTGAATAGATTGGAAAACGCTGTTTTATTTAAATCGATAAAAAGGAATGGAATATGAGTAGTAGCGTATTTGAAGTAAATTTTCAAGAGAGATGGTGTTCTTACCTTAACTCATCTTTCGGATGTGGAATATATTTGCAGCACTCTCGCTTGTGGAAGGTCGCTTCTATCCAACTTCGCGCCGGAGGCTGAAAAATAAGAGATCATCCATTAGAGATATTCAGGAGCGTAACGCTTTCTTTAAATTTAGTGCTACTAAAAACATTTCTAAGTTTCTAACTTGTCAGACCGTAACATGTGTTGTATATTGTCTGTGTGTACAAAGTAAGAGAGAGATTAATAGAATACATCCATCAGAAGCACTGTGTTTTCCACACGTACTTCTAAGTTTATTGAATTTTACTCCAAGATTTAGAGCTTTTAAAATCAAATGGTTTTAAATGGAAATGTTAAAATAACACCTTAAAAAATTAAATTCGTTCTTTAATATTTTACCTCTTTTGATCGCCTCTCCAAATTAATAGGCACACTATCAACACTTTGAACATCAAAATCTCTTTCAAACACCCCACTAAGTTGTCGAAAAGCGTTCCTAAAACGTTTATTTATATCCTTAATTTATATTAATTCAATTAAAACTTTGAAATTGAACATGTACGATTGGAAGTTAAGTAAGTAATCGCAGGATTTTACTACCAAAGAAATTTGAACTGAAATACGACGTGGATTTATTTCTTTGCGGAAAACGAAGGGGGAAGAAAATATACATCTTATTACGTCTCTGTGGAAATGAGATGAACATGCTGGAAAATCGAAAGGAAATAGGCCGGGAAGATCTCGAAGGAATACTAATGAATCTCCATGCCGGGAGTAAAATGAATATCAATTTGATCTTGTTCGGAAATTGAATGTAAAATTTACGTTTTAGGGGAAGTACCGGACAAATTTAATTTAAAGTGGCGCTGAGATCGGGACTTAGAACGAGGTTAAATGGTACAAATTTGAATGGTTTTAGGGGCTTACACTGCGATCCAACGAGCTCTATTCATCGGTGGGTAACTGTTATAACGCTGATAACTATTATTGTGTGCTGACATCTTGTTTATATTGATTTTATTGTTATTGGTATATAATTTTATTTTAAGGATAAACTAAAACGTTGTTGTTCATAAACTGGTAGAAAATTAACTAATTAAGTTAATGCATCGTATCTTTTTTATAAGAAGATAATTTTTGTTATCTGTATTTTCTTTCATATCAGATAATGTGGATGAAATTTAATTATGAGTAGATAATAATATTTGATGCGTGGTATCTGAATTATTTACATATTAAATTTAAACTTATTTTTTAAAAGTCTAAAAGATTTTTCTTTATAAAAGTAAAGAATGGAACAAGAAATGATTATATACATTTATATAGTTCATTAAGTTTCATAAACTGGGCTAAATGTTTCCCATTATTTTGCAAGTTACTGGATTATTTACTTTATATCATAGAATCCAGCTTGTTTTATGTGCACAACCAATCGCAGAATCTGCACGTTAATACTTGCACAAAGCCTTCATATAATACGTATTGAAAAAAGCTGGATGCCATTACACCCAAAAATTAGTGAAGAAAGAAAACAATATAATGATTACTAATTTTATGATGTATGGAGATTAAATTTGGGATGGAGAGAGAAGATGAGGAAACATCCTGACAAATAAAGGACATCAGGTTGTATAGTCAGGGAAGAGGTGGAGTGGCGAAGACTGAGCAACAAATAGATTTTAAATTACAGAACGTACATGGATACAATATAACGGAGCATATTATAGGATTATGACAAATACTAGGTGAAGCAAAAGCCTGGATATGCAGTATGCAATATGAAAAAATAAGGCTTTAATTTTTACAGCAGTTAGCATTTTGAATTGTTGCAAAACATGTAGCTTCAAATTGGTAATTTCTTCTTCAATGTTGTGTCGCCAATGACACTTTTCGTGCATTTCATGTAGATGCTACGTATCATCGCAAATTTTGTTCATTCACTACCGCTTAAGTAGAAATGGGCTTCATCACTCATTATAATTTTGAACGAAATCATCATCTTCTTGCACAAGGTTTAACAGAGCATGAGTGTAAGATAACCTCACTTGACAGTCAGCATATAGCAATTGGTGAACGGTTTCGACTTTTGTACTGAAAAATCTTCAAGTCTTTCACCAAACATTTAACGCAACGAACGTCTGCTGATGCTAAATTGTGTGTATCGTTATCTAGTAGATGCTTGTGGACTACGAGATATTATGCCAAACACTTAATTATTCACGAACATTATGCAGGATGACGAGGAAAACGACGACAAAATTCACGTTGCTTTAAAACGACAGACCGGAAATTGGTGAAATAAGCAGTAACAATAATTTCGCATTCTTCAGGTATCGCGTCATTGCTTGTTGTTAACTAATTCTCTATCTGTCTTCAACATAAATGTTCAGTATAATGATATTTGAAAGAATTATAAAACATTACTTTTACCTCACCTACTATTTAATAGGACAATTACGAAGACAGGAAAAAGCGAAGACTAAGATGTAAATAGCAAGATAGTTATAGGCAAATATAAAATAGATGAGAAGAAGGATAGGTTTGTAGAATATGTAGAAATGGGTGGGACTAGATACATCTTACTGAAGATGATATGTTATCGAATTGTGTGAGAAAAAACAGGGTTAAATGTGTAAAAACAAAATTGTAGAAAAGGGATAGATTTGGATGATGATGTGTAAGAACATAGCTAAATGAAAAAAACTTGTAGTTTTACTAAAGCAAATACGACTTCATAAGCTTGCAATTCTATACGTGATGCAGCTTTTAGTTAATCTTGGAACGATCTGTACCTCAGGTCACCAATTTTTTGAAGTTACAGATTTCTGATGTTGATTTGTAATTCTTGTACATTCACGGTTCATAACGGGTAGTCTGATTTTAGTCAAAACGTATGTAGCGTCCATTGTATATGCGTTTTATATTTTCACGAATCGGAAGTAAATTTGTGCAAATTGTACAATCTATATTCATCGGGCAAATTATTACACATTTAGTATTTTCAATTTAAGAGCATGTAAAGTTGTAAAATTGTTTACATTATTTCAGAGGAACGCATCCAAGAAAATGCCTCAAAATAAGACTTGTGTTAAACGGGTTTCTAAAAATTTAATTATATTGGCAAACAAGTCCATAAAACACATAAATAACACGTGAACATTTTTAAAGATTAGTGGTGAGTCTAGCATTTCAGTACAGAAGTATTAACTACATAAATCGAATTTTTTACCCCCGAGGAGTTACTAGCATGAAACGATTATTACGTCTTCTCGCCTACAGTACCTACGCCCTAACGAAAAGAAAAATCCGGTAATTGGCATGTCAATATGCCATCACAAGCGGTTAGTCCTATCCACCTTCTTAGGATGAAGAGAATGCCGCTGAAATCATCACTTCGTAAACCTGAGGCCATAACTTTGACCACATCAACTGCTTTCAATAAGGTATATCGTACAAATACCGTGGATATTTATATATTTGATAAAATGCAAAACTTGAATGGTCTAACAACTACACGTTCCTCCAAATCTTGTAGCACCTAAAGAAATAAAGCAACTGAATCAAATGATGAGTCATAAGCGAAGCCAAACACAACCATTATTATTGCCATTAACGCAATCGGATATCATATTCTGCCCATAATAATTTTCGAGGGTCAACTTTAAGTCACATATATTGCAAGGGTGTCCGATTAGAATATTGGGAAGTGCAAATTTGTTAGGTTAGTCGGACGACAGTTTATTTTAGCAGTTTCTAGAATATAAAGAATTATGTCAAGCCAATATTTAGATAACACAGTTTTGGCTCCTTTTAAAACTTATTACTATACGGGCTGTGTTGAATGAGTAAGAAACGAAAAAAACAAAAAAACGAAATAGCAGCACAAGAATAGAAGCAGGAATTAAAAACAATTAACGCAGGATGAAATTATTGGTAGTAAAAGGCAAGTCAAAGATGTTGCAAAAAATATGACCAAAATTGCTTTCCAACAGTTCTCCGCAAGGCGATACACATTCGCGTTATTCTTGGTATGGACTATATACAACATACCTTTGCTCATGCAGAACATATCCATAATAATTTTGAATAACTCAAAAATTTCGTGATTTCAACTTGATTTCATCAAAGGTTATGAATTTTCTATTCTGATTTTTTGATTTATCGGTGAGTGTAAGTTTGGATGCTAAGACTATGTGATTGTTACTATAAGAAAATAAATGTTTGCCACTTCGATACCGATGAGTACCAATTTAGTTCAAGAAAACGTTGAATATAAGAAGTTTCACTAAAATTAGTAACAAGTGATTATTATTTTATTATCGTTATTTAATAAAATCGCTGTTAAAACGTTATGCCTGCTTAAATCAATTTTTTTAAAGCAGAAAATGTAAAATTGTCTTTTAAGTACCAATGTTTCACCGCCGGTGTGAATTAACTAATAGTAGATCTAACACTAGCACTATATCATTAGACCCAGAACATGGAAACTTTCTAGTTAAGTTGTGCGTCTTTTCAGAAGTGTTTAACGTTTAAGTTTGTCTTCGAACTTGTTTCTGAAGAAGGTTGCAACATGGCATTCGAAACGTTAAACACTTTTTTAAAAGACGCACGGCTTAACTCGAAACATTCTAGTTTTGGTCTAGTGTTAGTTCGAGTGATAATGTTAGTATTAGTTTTAGTTGTAGTTTAAAATTATTTTTTATTTCCACTGAAATGTATCTAGAAATTCACATACTTAACTCGCCATATTTACTATATATACACCAAACTCGAATAAGATATATGTACTCAAACTATGGAATACTGATTAAGAAAGACTATTTTAATAAACTTGATATGCTTAACTGGAATTGCTGGAACGCATAAGAATGTGTACAGAAGATTTGCGGAATCAAGATGGAACTGGAATCATTATGTATTGGTTAATTATGTCGCTTCTGTTAGTGGTTCCATTTACGAGCAAGTATAACTGAAAATTAAAAATTCGTGACATTTTTAATTTACTGTACGATGTCCGAGTTAACCACAATTTATGAAGTGCTTTTAGGGGTTGTAGTGGTTTTAACTAGGGCTTTTAGTAGCGGTATTCCGG